TTTAACTAAAGTGTATTTTTTGTCTTTTTAAAAAATAAAAATATAACCTCTGAGTAGTTGAGGATAGCTCGATCTTTTTACACAAAGTTATTTTTGACATTATTACGAACTATTTACGATAGCCATTTGCTCGTTTGATACATAAAATTGGCAATGTGTAACTTATTTAGTACGAAAAGAAAACTTTACAACATAATGTATATTACAACAAAATTGTGAAAGACTCCTTTAAACTTGAAACACCACATTAACAAATGGAAATTAGGCCTAAGTGGAGTTAAACCTATTTTGCATTCGTTAGCATGTAGTAGAGCACCTTTTTATCTTACCTTCCAAATCTTCCTTAGCAATTTTATGCAAATATTTTTTTTAGAAAATTCTTTGTCAAAGCGATCAAATACGTGCAATATCCATTCTAATTTTAAGTTGAACAAATAAAGTGTTAAACGTCGAAATTTTATAAGTTATAACAGTTTTCGTCACAATAAAATAATATTTCAAATCCTTAAGAAGACAAATTTGAACATAACTTTCAAATAACGACAATTATGTTCCTTGGTAATATACGTCGTAAATTACCTTGTTTTATGAGACTCGCCCTGAATATATATTATTAATAGTATTGACCAAGCGTCGAAAGGCCATTAAAACTATTAGAAATGTGTAAAATGTTCCCATTAATCATTTACGATTACCCTCTCAGCTTGGAACAGCTATTAGGTTGATAATGTTGCTTTAGGTTATTGACTTAACTTAAATTTTAATGAAAGTGAGGAAGTGAACATTGTGAACCGCTTTCGTCAGTTTTACTTCGTTCTCGCCTATTTTTTTTCTTCTTTTCTTTATAATTCGTGTGGATACAGATTGTGGAGAAGCATTTGTTTTACTCTTTTCAACTTCTTTGTTTAGAATGCTAAAAATCGGACTTCGATACTCCTGATGGGCACCACAGAGATAACAGATTATGAAACTTTGTACTTAACAGCAAACAAACAAACAATTCTTTTGTATGAACAAACACTTATCTCTTCCCGTCATATTTCTCTGTTTCTATCAATAAATACTAAAAAATAGCGCGTGTTTTGCACGTGAGATACAATAACAAATTTCATAACATCGAGGTGAAAAGAAACGATAGAATTAAAAAAAATCAAGATAAAGATGATACATTCCTTAGAAAAATATGCTACATATATAAGTTTATATGGTCCGTTATAGTCGGACCAGAACTAAGTACAATAAACACCAGAAGAATTATAAAAAAGAGAACACGTGAATACATGTTTTTAATGACAGACATTGAAAAACTGGAAGCTTTGAAATGAAGCCGCATTTCAGAAACCTGCATTGCGTTTTTGTACAAAAATTATAGGGATTTGTTTGTTTGAATTTCGCGCAAATCTACACGAGAGCTATCTGCGTAGCCGTCCCTTATTTAGCAGTGATAGACTAGAGGGAAGGCAGCTGGTCATCACAACCCATCGCCAACGCTTGAGCCTACTCTTTTGCCAACGAATAGTGGGATTGACCGTCACATTATAACGCACCTACGGTTGAAAGGGCGAGCATGTTTAGTAGGGCGGGGATTCGAACCCGCGATCCTCAGATTGCGAGTCAAGCGCCCTAAACACCTGGTCATGCCTGGCCACAACTTATAGTGAATAACCAATAATTGATAACATGCGTAAAGGGCTTTCCAGCATTTTTTTTTCTCGTTTTCACTTACAAGTAACATTTTAGTCCATATTCAATGATCGAGATTCATGTTTATCTACTTTCTTTATATTTTCACAGTTGATGCAGTGGTAACGCACTCGCTTTCTGGTTAAGAGCTGGTTTTTGTTAGCTCAATAACAAGACATTATAGTATTCTAAGGTGGACACGGGAATGAAGGATGACGCTGAAACAATGGATGTAGGAACAATAACACATTCTTCTTGCCATTAAACCAAGAAAAACAGCTCTTAAGCAGAAGATGAGCGTGCTATCGGTTCATCTTCAGTTGTGAAAATGTAAAAAAGTAACAGAACATGAACTTCAAAAATCGTTGAGTAACATTTTATGAAAACGACTCAATGATTGAGACGAAAAGTTTGTCAACTCAAATCTAAGACAGTGCTTTTCCCATTTAGTACTATTCCACTTAAAAATAATAATTTTAGCTCCAGTATGTTAAGTTAAATTGTGAACTTCTATATTAAATGAGAATTACCTTATATAGAGTTAAAGGGCGATTGATTGTGGGCCGAAACTCGTGGCTTTAGATTCCACTCGTTTTTTGTATCTCTCACTAGAGATACTAAACTTTATTCAGCAGACAAGACGATAAGCATTTGAAAAGCAGAGGTATACTGTATAACGCTTATTTATTGACACAGGAGTTCTATAGTTCTTTCTTTCAAGTTTTTTCGCACCTTAAACAACAATGTAAGTTGGTTTAGGACCTACTCTAAACTTTGAAACATATTGATGTATTATAATCCTTTGCATGTGTGTTTACTTGCATATGTAAACAATTAATAAAAAAAGAGTATTGAAACCGGTTTCTAGCGTTGTAAGTCCGCAGACA